CGCCTCGCCCAATCCTATCGGCTCGCCCAAGTTCCCGAACATGCTCGTTTGTGCCCTGAAATGCGGCGCCGAGAACTGCGATAGCGCAGCTGTATCAACGCCATCAGAAGACGAGGGGTTTGGGCTGCTTGTAATTTGCCCCAGGTTGAGCACGAAGCGGCTGACAAGGATCGAAGGCTAGAGAATATTGAGTGCGTATGCATCCCTGTCCAGGCTTACGGCGCACCATGACAGCTATGAGAAGATTCACAGGGGCGAACATCTTTCATTTGGATATATTAGTCGGATTGGATGGCCAGCAAAGGCGACTCACGAGATTATACGTCAGAATTTGTGCAAGGTTGATGCAAAGAAGTAACCTAGCACACTCAGCGTCACTAGCCGGACGGAGAATTTCTCCGAGTCACTCACAAGAAGTAGATTGTACCTAGTACCGCTGGTCAGCCGCGGAGACGCGAAGGAAGATTATCGAGACATACCGTCGCGTAACAGCGACCCTGCTATTGATTTCGGGATCCTTAACCTGCGCGATTCTCGCCACTGTGAGAAAGTCTTGGCCCAGGTCAGGATGAGCACCAGGAAATCCATCGCTATCAGCGAGATGCGCGTTGACAAATGTACTGAAGTACCACTGAGGAGTAGTTGATGTATAGGAGAGATAAGCACGTACATCTACGGATGCTATCAGCTGGGTCAGGTGCCCCAGAGACTGAATTGAACGTACACAGTCACAGCCTTATCTGAGTAGTATATGTTCTGCCAACATCCACCAAATTTCTCTGTGTAGTCGTATTGGGAACGGGCAGCGGTATACTGTAAGGCAATGAGCTCGCATATCGATAATACCTCAAGTTTGGTCAACCCACGATGTTTGCCCATACGGGTATTGATCCCAGAGCTAGGACCAGGACGAACAGGAACCAGTTGCGCCCCCATATCGCTGAAACCCGCAACGCCGAGAACACTGATTTGACACGGGCGATTGAGATGATTGGGCTTGACGCTAGTGTGACGTGCTTACATGCTGTACCCCCATACCCAATCCATATGACAACATTCTCGAGCCTATTTGCTATCTTGCACCTAGCATGCGTTAGATGAGTACATAAAGCTGATATGCTGCTTAAAGCTTTACCCCTAATAGGCCATGAGTAAGAGGAACACGACACTCTGACAGATAACACGCACTAAGTCTGTTGAAGGAACTATGTTGGCGATTATGGCGTTTACGACCATGGCCCATCGTAAGATGACCAAAAATGCCGATGTCAGGGTAATTTTTCTCCTCCATACAATTGCTACTTCCTGGTCAAAAGTAATGAGGTATTCGTAGACCACCAAGGCTAGGCGTGGTAGGGTGTCGGCGAACTTTTTGCACATGAGCAACTTCGATGCATACCCAGGACGCCATAGCTGATCTCTGAAGAGACAATGCTGTACGAACGAAGACAGATGAGTATCGGTGCTACTCTGTGTTCGAAGAGGTTACACGCACCTCTCGTAAACTTCTTCGACATAATTGGGATCCGCGTCCATGTCTGGGGCGACTTGGAGTGTAAACCACGCGCAAGCGTGGGGAAAGATCGGGATAGCTTATGAAGGCCTCACTCAATCATCAACGGCGGCCTATATGTATGCGACGCCGCCTCATCTAGCTTATTTAGGGCAAGCTAATGCACCGCTCGGCGTGCATGCAAGTTTGGAGGACCCTTATTATGGCATCAGTGGATCCAGGGCTCAAGTTTACACCTGATCCCCGCAGGGGATCTTCAAATGAATATGATGCGGAGGCGCTGCACAATATTCGCTTGGCATCTATGCCTGAGGAACGAAGCAGGCTGACTGCAGGGATGGTAAGATATGATTCGGGCGGAGGAGTCTGGGAGCTGAACACACACCAGGCCTTCTGGACTTGAAATATTCGAGAACTGGCAAGAATACTGCCCTTCTGGCTGCATCTCAGTGGAAACCGCTAGTACGAGAGGCAGGCACTTGAAGTGGAATACGCATGATATCAATCCTCACGTCCAGCTGAAAATGGGTGACCTCAAACTCCTAAATCAGGTTTTAACTAAGTCGGTATCGCAGAAATAAGCTGAAACAAGAGTACGCGTCTTGAGCATATAGCAGTCTGTGGAAGGAAAAGCAAGAGTGAGCTGTTCTTTCGTTCGAAGGCGTCCCTTGATGCTCCCTTTGATGCGCCCATTTCCAAATGTGGAAAGATGATCAGCCACCCTCGCTCGGCGAAGCTCGACGTTTAATCGTCATGGCAATATTCACTACTCAAGGCATATAAGCGGAGGCGGAGGCGCACACGGCCGTCACGTATGAATCGCTTGCTGAGATAGTGCATTGGTTCTCCGCTTGCATTATGCCAGAGCTGCACGATCTCAGG